TTGTGGGTTTTAGGGCTATCAGAGTCTGGGATTCTTGGGGCTTCACGGAGTCACAAAGCCGAAGTGAACCGCTGGCTTGAGGCTGAAGGCTTCATCCCAGACCACTGAATAGCAAACCTCGGACGTTATGTCCGCCATGTTCGAAACAGCCTGAAACCCAAACCTGGAAAACCCTGAAAGCCAAGAGGGCGAGAGTCATGAGAACCTAAAACATGCAACATGCACCGCACTTAGGCCAGGCTTTCGGGCGAGAGACATACGCATGAATGCACATGAATATACAGTATAAACATACATGCATCTGCACATGTGCAACAAGACATAGAGATATACCAGTGAGAAAGAGAAAGAGACACATATACACATATATACAAATATATTTATATATATATATATATATATATATATGTATATATATACATACATACGCATATACATATTACACTCTATACCATCAATCGAAAACCTCAGACACGAAATTCTGAACCTCTACCCGATTGGGGGGGCTAAATATCTTGATTGTGCACATGGGCACTATATACTTATATCCGGAACATGTAGGAAACCCGAAAAATCTATTGCTACTTCTTACGGACCCCTCTATCAAACCCTAAACCCTAAACCCTAAACCCCAAACCCTAAACCCCAAGCAGCATCCGGGGGTTCGGCCCCAAAGCGAAAAGACAGGAGCTGCTCCTTGGGTCCGACTTTGCATAGAGAGGCCTTGATAATTAGAATAGGGTTCCTTTAGAAGGGTCTATGAGGGCACTATAAGGGATCTATAAGGGTACTATAATACAAGGGCCCAACTTTACATAGAGAGGCCTTGATAATATGGGTGGATATCAAAATTTGGGCCCTTTTTTGGGGTACCTTAAATATTAGGTGCCGTATTATCAAAAGGACCCAAAAAGGGACCCTTATTTTGACAACCACCCCTTTAATAGAGAGGCCTTGATGATTAGAATAGGCTTTGGCAGGGTCTATGAGGGATATGAGGGCTACTATAAGGGATCTCTAAGGGTACTAATACCAAAATACAGGGGCCTTAATAATTAGAATTGGGCTTGGGTGCCCATTATACCATAATAATAATAATAAGGAACCCCAGAAGGGTATAGGTAATTATTCAAGCCCCCTGAATTACGGCTTCAGGGTTTCAAGAGCTTTAGGGCCTTACGGGCGGTGGTAATTGAGGGTTTGTTATTTGGGATGTTAGGGTTTAGGGCTTAGGGTTTCAAGGGCTTTGACTCAGGGGCTGTAGTAGTTTAGGGTTTCAGGGTTTTGAATTGAAATTTTAGGGTTTAGGGCGTAAAGTTTTAAGGGTTTTCAGGCTTTAATTAGGGTGTCAGGGTTTGGGGTTCAGGGTTTGAGCTTCAGGGGCAAGGCAGGGTTCAAGGTTTGGGGTGAAATGGCGGAGACCTCCCCCAAAACAAGCTCGTTCGCTTGGTTGTACATCGCTCCAGATAGGCAAACTACCTGAAGCCCTCCACAGCCTGACACACTTCTACCATGATACTCTTCTACCACGCCGCACGCAGGACCGCAGGAGGAGGAGTAGTACAGTGCAACGACTGTACAAGAATTGGTTGGATAAGACATGTAGGGGCTATGTCAGCCGGATAGCATCCATAAGTCGAAAATTTAAAATGCCCTCCAGCGAAGACATGCAGGGTACGCAACGTTTTGGTGTCATTTCTTATTGGGCAGGTGTTCTCAAGCCTCGAAGACCACTGCGATAAGAAATGTAGGGGCTACGTGTCTTACTTTGGTGGGTTTTCAAGCCCTAAGCCTACGGCACAAGGCAGAAGCAAAAATTAGAAATGTAGGGGCGACGTTTCTTCTTTTTGGATGGCTTCCAGGCCCTATGCCTAGGGCAAAAGGCAGAAGCCGAAAATCAAAAATGTACAGGGCTGCGTTTCTTGTTTTGGTGTCTATCGCCGTCTATCGCCTAGCCTAGTGGAAAAAAGAAGGGCTCACCAGGCACCAGCCTGCCATGGGCTCGAGCCCCGAGGTAGAAATGGCAAGAAATGGAGGGTACCCCACGATTCCGAGCTGGGAGTGGTAATGTGAAACCAGAAAGGAAGTTAAGCATGAAGGGGTAGCCAACGCTGGGATCCAGCACATGCGCCGTAGGTGATGGAGACGGAGGAAGAGGAGGAGGAGGAGTATCAGCATCAGTTGAACGACGAGGCGGAGGAGGAGGAGGAGGAGGAGGAGGAGGAGGAGGAGGAGGAGCAGGAGGAGCAAAGGCACACTCTGAACACAAGCAGAAGGACGCTTAAGAGGAGCACAGGCATCACAAGCCGCAGTAGCAACAGAAGTAGCGCAGCAGTCGCCACCGTTGTCGCAGAGAGCAGCAGCAACGGCGACGACAGCAGCAGCGGTAGAGCCTGACTGACAGAAGTATTGTGGAGAAATCCCAACCCGTTTGCTCGGGGTCCTGAGTCTGTGGGTCGAAAGCCACGTCCACGCCGTAGCTCTGCGCCGTGAAGCAAACATTGACTGGTCCCTCCTGGTTTGCTTGGAAGGTTGAGGGATGCAGGATCGGGGCTTAAGGGTTTAACAGTAACAGATGAGATTTCGGTTTGAAAAAGATTTCGGATTTAGAGTGTAGGGCTCGGGATTTAATGCTGACGACTTAGCATGTGGACTTCAGTGATCTATGCTGGTGGGGCTGAGGTTTGGGTTCTGGGGGGAGTCATTCAAGTCATTTGCATCATGTCACGAACTCCGAATCGGCCCATATCATCTTGGAGTGCTTCGGAAAACTAGAGTCCAGGATTAAAGTGGCAGCTCCCAGCTAGACCCAAACCCATCTCTGTTGCCAGACCTGCAAAGCTCAGACTTCCAGGCACCTGTGGCCTGAATACCTATGCCTTCTGTGACCTCTGCTCTAGAGCTCAGCTTGTGCGTTGAGACTCGCCTTAAGGACCGTGGCCTCGTGGGAAGCCTAGGGGGGAGTTCGCCTTGCGGTGTCCAGGGCTCGGATTCACGGTTTATATAAATTGTGAAGGGTTTGGGTGCCAATAAGTTTTGACCGAAACGTTTTCACCGAAACTTTTCACAAAAAGGTGTTGACAGGTCTTCTGACTGAAACTTGGTTTTGGAAAATTGGGTGCGGGCTTGGCTAAACCTGGGCTGGGCTGGGGGGCTTGGGTGGGCCTGCGCTGGGCTGGCTTTGGCTGGGCTGGGCTGGGCTCGGCGGCAGCCTGGTGGGGCTGGTTGGGGCCGGAGTTTTGCTGCTAAAAAGGGACGGGGCAAGAGTTTCCTGATTTTGAATTGTGAAGGAGTTTTGCTACTGGAACCTGATGTGAATTTGGGGGAGTTTTGTGATGGAACCTGGTTTTGGGCGGTGGGCTTGAAATTGACGGTTTAGGGGGCTCAACGCCAGCAATGACAAGCAAGTTCTATTTATTTCTTGCTTCAGAGTTTGAGTTTAGGGTTTGGGGCTCAGGATTTTGAGTCTAGGGTTTAGGGTTTAGAGTGTTTTTTTGGAACTCCTTTTTCCAGAAGGGTTTAGAGTTTAGGGTTTAGGGAAACCCAGGCTGACGGGTCAGGCATCAAGCTCAAGCCCTACGAAACATCTGCGAGGACGACACAAGACCACTCGGTTAATGCGAGAGTAAGCAAAGGAGCCTGAAATAGTGGCCTTAACAATGAGAGTACAGTTTGGGGTGGAAAATTAAGCGGCATTATTACTATTCACTGTATTCAACGATAGACTCGCACCTTCGGATCTGAATACGTTGAGGGTTCAAGGTTTGTGCGAAACTGATCTGCACCGCGACATCGGAGGGAGGTCGGGTTATGAGCTTAGGAATTAGGGATTCGGGTTTCGGCTTCAGGGGTTGAAAGTTTGGGGTTTCAACCGAGATTCCTGGCTTGAGCCCTAAAACCGGCTTGGCGCAATGGAGGTCCTGAACCATGGCGACCAACTTCACGAGTGCAATGGCAGCAAGGTGGTCGACTGCAGTACCACTGTAGGACTCTGTCGCGCTGCTCTACTGGTCCAATGATGTTGTGCTTGGACCCTGAATCCAAAAACCGATGATCTTTGTGGAATGCTGTAGTGAAATACCTCCAATCGCAAGACGTCGTCTTCCAGGCGTTAGTGGTAGCCAGCTTACAGAATCCATAGCGCACGTGTTGCAACTGCAAAAGCTAGCTGCTCCGAACACTGTGACGAGGATCTCCGATTCAGAAACTGTGACGAGCGTGAGAAACATGCTGTTCTCCGAGCCGCTGCGAGATTGCCCGAATACATGCATTCTCTTCCCATACATGACTGATAATTTCAGCTCATCTCGGGAGAAATTTTCTAGTTCTCGGATATCTGGGATTCTTGTGGACCCTGAATATTCGGATGCGGGCGCGTGGCACCTGAATTCGTGAACCTCGACTGCTTCAATGCCACGACGGCAACTTGAACCAGAGAAAACTGGACCAATGCTACGACCACGCCTACGACTGGGACTGCTAGCGATACAGCTGCGACAGATGAAGAAGAGACTGATGATGATGCTGTTCAATTGACGCTGAAGGCTGAAGACCCGGCCTTAAGACCATCACGTCCTGCTTCCAGATCAAGCCAAACTTTAACACTATCCGACAATCCGAAACCTGAATACAACAAGCTCCTCATGAACCTGAATCTTGCAGCATGCAACAGCCCCATCCGAAGGCCAAGCCCTTGAAAGGCTAGACACGTTCGGGTTTGATTTTTTCACGCGGCTTAGGAGTATTGGAGGTCTCCGTTTCTCACTGCTGTTACGAGGGTGACATTCCTCTGCTACGATGAGCCCGTTGGCCGTTGGTCGGGCCCTTTTTCTATCAAGAGGGCTTAGGGGCCGCCCGTCAGGGAATCGGGTTTCTGGGAATGCCGTGCCACGCTGCCCTCTTTTTGGTCGCGGGGCACGGCAAGATCTGCTTCTCGGCCGCAAGAGACACGAGAACGTCCAGGACCAAACTCTAGCACAATCACGCAATCCTTCTCACCATCATCTACCTTAGAAATACTCGAAACCACGAAACTTCAAACCCTAGCCCAATAGCTGTTAAATAGCTGTTGCTGGAGCGACTTTAGGAGCCTGAATAATTGGAATAGGGTTGTGGGGCCACTTTCTACTATAATTACGAAAAGGAGCCCCCAAAATAGTATAGCTATTTAGGCCCCTATATTAGCTGTTGCTGGAGCTACGCCGCCCCCTTCGGCGCCGACTGCCGCGATTGCGCCGGCGACTCTTTCGACTGCGGCTCCGATCGCTTCGGCTCCGGTCCCGGCCTGAAAAGGGGGCTTCACGGTGCACTTAAAGGATCATGGGACTTAGTAAGTAAGGTTATAAGTACCTTAATTGGGGTTATAAGTATAGTTACCCTAGTTATAACCCTAGTTACTAAGTCCCATGATCCTTTAAGTAGAGTTTCGGGATCAAGGGCTTCGGTTAGGGTTTAGGGTTTAGTATCAGGGTTCAGGGAAGGGATTTGGGATGAGGCTCTTGGGATGAGGGTCTAAGGTTTATGGCAGGGGTTTGGGATTAGGGTTTAGGGATTAGGGCTTCTCGCCGCGCAGCGGCAGTCTTTTCTATGTCGGATGGCGCCCCAACACTCCTAAGATTGTGGCGGGGCGGCATATCTACGTCTAGCATTAGAAGGCGACTCCACCAAACAATTACAAATTGGTTTCTGTTGCTTTTCCCACCCGCTGTGACCTCACACAGGCTACCACCCAAAATCCTGGCCACCAGGAACACAGTTGTTTGCCAGGTCTCCCCCAAGAAGCCCCCCGGGTCCCTGGAATCTATCGGCTGGCGGGCCTCTGAAAAGCCCTCTGGGCCCATGTTCTAGGGGTGCCAAAGAAGGGAAAGGTCCATCGAGGCTTTTCGTCGTCGGGTTTAGGGTGTTCCAATCCCTTCAGAATCGAGAAAATTTCTGTGTGAAAATCTGGGCGCCACCCAGGTGGCCCAATGGCATGGCTCAGCCCTAGGGGCTGAATTTGACATTGTCCAATGGCTACCCATTGTCCATCCCAAGAAACGGTGTCAATCACTGCCGGATATCGTCTGGGTCCAGGCACCCTAGAAAACGGGTGGGTACGGCCTAAGCAGGCCTGGGTGGGAATTTAGGGTTTAGGGTAGGGATTTGGGATTAGGGTTTAGGGTTTAGGATTCAAGCTTCAGAGTTTCGGGCTTAGGACCGAGGTGGTATGAGCTGAAGACCATGGATTGTTGGGCTTTAGGGGTTGCCGCCTTGGGCCTCGAGACGAAGAAGTTGATTTCGGGGCGTAGCTAGGGTGTCGGGGGCTCAGAACTTCGAGGCGTTGGGGTTACTTCCCTGTAAGGTGTGCATGATGTCCGGAATGAGAGCCGGGACCTTCCGAGTTTTGAGGACAGGTTTCAAGCGGTTTCGGCCTTCGAGGGCCGTATAACTTGTGTAGTTGAAGGATTCGGATCTGCGATTTTGCACGAAGTAGGTTCCTAGTATGTCTGCATTACTGCAGTCTGCGCCGAATCCAACTCCACCCTAAGCACCACCCAGTACGTCCTTAAACCCAGAATTTCACCATGTTCCCAAAATCCAGAAAGCATTAAATCTGCTATAAACCCAGAACGACACCGCTGGGTAGCAGACCCTTGCCGGCTCTCTGCCGACCACGACTTCGACTGCCACTTCGCCTGGGGCTGTATATGGGTAGTTCTCTAAATCAGCGTTCCGTTTCGCGTTCGTACTATATTTAGGATCTAGAACGGAACACCAATCTGGAGAACCACCCATATGGTTGATTCTATGCTTCGGGATAGCTACCAGCTAGCCGCCTTGAGTACCTCCCGGCCCGAGCCGCGACCACATATCCCCACCACAACCGCCCCCCCCCCCCCCCCCCCCCCCCCCCCCCCCCCCCCCCCCCCCCCACCCCGCCCTCCACAATTGCCACTTGTTCACCAAAGCTGTGATCCCCACCTTACCATCCCCTGACCCCAAAATACATCCCAATCCCCTACAAAGTTCTAAAAAAAGCCCAGACAAGCTGCCTCGGAGTCTCTGCAGGCTTCTCTGCCGAACGTGCCGGTCCCGCGCCCTCCTTGAAACGGTGAAGAGTACGTGGTCTTGGGGTTTAAAGTCTTGGGTTTGGGGCTTCGGGCCACTATTATTTGCAACAGGATACAATGCCCTTTGCCAGTTGTTTGGGCTTGTTGCGGCGACGGTGCGGAATTACGGTCTAGGGCCAACAGGTTGTAGCACATGGAAAGTTTAGGGTTCAGGGCAGGAGAGGGCTCAGGGGCGATCATTCAGAATCGGGTAGGGCAAGAGCCTTTGGGGCATGTTAATTCGCACTCCCGGTGTACTCTTGTTCTCATCATTGCGAAGAAACCCCGAAGCGAGAATCCGAAAGCTTCAAAAGCTGCATTGTACCTAAATCCTCAACCTCACCAGGACCCCAAAAGGTTCAGGGCTTCGGGATTTGGTGTTCACTAAGATAGAGAGAGTGCGCGTAGCTTGGCTGGTCCTCTTTCGGGCGATTCCGTGGGTCTGGCGGAGGTCCGGCGATGTCGATAGTGAGGACAGAGCCCCGTACCTCTCCGTGCAACACATCAAGAGGGGTCAGACAGGGCGGGCCCAACAAAAGGGCCCAAAAAATACCAACAATAGGCCTACCGCCCTGTAAGGATCCTACCTTCAAGAGCATGCGTGTGGATACTTTTTTGGGCTCGTCTTAGACCTGGCTCCTCGGCAGGTCGTTGTTAAACCTTAGACTCCCTATGGCTTTGAGCTGGGCTCCACCGTCCGTCTCACTTGCCCGGCATGCCAGCACAGAATATCTATGAAACCAGGTTGTAGCTTTTCAGCAGCGACAATCCAACCCCGGCACCGAAGGCTTCGGAGATAGGCTCATGGATGCGAGATGTTGCTAGAAGGCCCGAGACCTTCTCTTGAACAAACGCTCGATTCCGTTCGCCGCCAGCCGCCAACCGAAGCTGCAAAGTGAGCGTCTTTCACGGTTGCATCATCATCGCCATCGTCATCATCATCATCATCGTCATCATCATCATCAGTATCAATATCAATATCATGCGGTGACACACGTGTCGTCATCAGCATCACATTCCTTTCAACATCATCAGGATCCTCGTCACCGTCGCATTCTCCTTTTCAGCATCTCAGCGGCGGCAGCAAACTACATTCGTCATGCCACCATGACATGACGATGATAAAAGTATGCTTATAGCTCACTGCGGCATTCCAGCAAGTAATAGGAAGAAGCCCTGAGAGCATCCACAGTGTGCGCCCCTAAACAGAGCAGCATATGACTACACCCCAAACGTTCTTCGGTGGCCTTCTTGCCGTTCAGCGAGGACATTGCTTCTTTGGCATCTGCCTTCTGCCAAGTCATGAGATGAACGTGGGATGCTAAGCCGCTACACCTAGAAGATAGGATGAGGGTTTGTGCCTTCGGGCTTGGGGCTGCCCCTTCTAATCCCTAACCTGAGGCAGAAGCTGCGCCGCCCATGCTTCTTCGGAATTCAAGTTCATCCTCCCCTTATGAAAACTGTCGTTCGGCTTGCCTCCAAAGTGGTGGGAGTTTCTTAAAACCTGAGATCCGACAGCTGTTGAAGCAGTGTTCCAGAAGCTTCTAACATTAGTCCCGGATGTCCCTCAAAACCTCTGACCAACTACACTTTAAATTCGACTAGATGTACGGAAGCCAGGCCAGATCTGAGATCCTCAGCCGCCCTTCCAAACCCGAACTACAGATCCCTGTCTGAAAGCATTCCGGCCCCGTGTGCTGTGACCCTCTCGCGCCGCCTTCTCTTGGTACCTCGGCCGAGGAAGCACAGTTACCGTTGTCATTTGGTCGTTTTCCGGCCTTGGGTTTAGGGTATACGGTGTTGGAGGAGGCTTTGGGTTTTGCTTCAGCCGTGGGCTACAGGGTGTGTACCAGACAGAAGATCGGAGCTACTATAGAAATTCAGACGCCTCCTTCTGCAATGGCGCCCCATGAAGCTCCCCTGATCATCCGCAAGGCTCCAAAGAAGCCTGCCCATGAGAAACGCATGCATCACAAAGCCCTCCTCCAAGAACATGAGGCCTGGGCTCCACAAAAGCCACCCCTTTGCCTTGTAGGACATGGATCCTGCAAAATGAAGCGGTTCCGCTATTCGGGCAGCAGGGTTTGAGTACCGATTGGAAGTTGCTATACAGGCCATGCAGAGGTTTCGTGCCCTGGGCTGCGAAGTTGCGGGTAATGGGTCAAGCATCGAATCGGTCCGAACTACCACCACATGAACGCTCCGCATAGCCGTGCGGTAGCGTCCCGAAGAAACCCTGCTGCAGTGGACAACACAACCCGTCTTCCCGCTACCATAATTCCTGCATCACCTGACTCATGGAAAGAAGATGTCTAGTTTATCACCAATTTCGGCTTCCGTATTCCACAGATGGGCGCCAGATTGCAGGTCCCACTGCTACTGTTTGGTACGAGCACTTCGGCAGTTGAGGAGAGCCTTAAGCTAGGGGCCTTAACACTTAGACTATGGTTTTGGGGCCCATTATACTATAATTATAAGAAGGAACCAAATAGTATTGGCAATTATGTAGGCCTCTATAGTAGACCTTAAAACGCGAGGTCTGAGCTGCAGATGTCCAGCTTTCTGCCTGCGCTTCAACGACAGAAAAGCTCTGGCAAGGCCAGGATACTAAACTGCGTTGAAACTACCGGCAAGAAGGTCCTTGCAGCAAAAATGCGGCCGAAAAGCGAGAATGCCTTGAAGCGATCCAACATGCCAAAGGTGCCAAAGCAGGACGCTAGAGCAGCACCCCCTTCGCCGTAACTCAAACCACTTCGTCACACAGGTTTCTCGTATTATCATCAGTACTGATATTACTATTGCTCTAAATATCTTAGCCGCTACATAGTCTCGGGCAACACGCAGCCTCAAACCGCAGCTCACACACCCCGAAAACCCCAGGACCCGAAACACCATAGAGGCCAAATCCCCAACAAGCCATCTAGAAACCCCACACAGCGCAAGCTCCGAACTCGAAACCCCGACACCTAAATCTGAGCCCAAAGCTTCCTCTGGAAACATAAACTCCCATAAAAGCCTCCTCCGCCTTGAAAATGCCCTAAACCACAAGCCCTAAACCCTAACATGCCCTGAAACCGTGGTCTCCTCAGCACGTGCCCGAACTCACCGAACTCCGGCTGCAGGTGCCTCGCGAAGCCAGCGAAAAGAAAAGGTTTACGGTTGATGCGATGGCGCTTCTTAGTGCTTTCGGACTTCGGATGGGCTGAGAGGCTGGGAAGTGTTCTAGGATTCAACGTCTCGGATTACCGCTTGGGGGTTATGCAAACACCTGAACTAGAACGGAGCGTTAACGCTATTGATAACATGAATGCTTTGCCGTAATTGACAGAGGCCTTAATCTCAAGGATAGAAATCGCACCGGTGATTGGGGTCGAAACTGACCAAATCCCGCTTTGATACATCATACTACCACGATCAAGTAACCTACCGCGATGCGTAGGTCGCGAGGCACTCCGCCTTTGTAGAAGCCGCCACCCTCAACTCTTCCCCGCAATCTTCAAGTCCGTCTTCATCGACAGAGTTTGGGTACGCGGTCTACTGCACCCGGCAAACCGAGCAATCCTTGCATCGATTTGGGGTTTGGGGCCCATTATACAATTTGGGAACCACCAAAACAGTATTGGTATCAGAGCTTTGCAGTCCCGCGAGAAGCTGTAGATTTGGGATCGAAGGGTTGCATCCGGATAGGCATTGAGAGCAGACTTGTTCCCTCGTCTCCCTAAGTACCGTGTATTCAGTCGTGTCATTCTTGCAACTGGAGAATAGTCTCTGCTCTCGAGACTCAACTTGTGCTTTCGCCTAGCAGAACTGGCTAGCTGGTGAACAGCCTACCTGCTTGGCTGCTACGCTGGCACACATCCTCCAAGCCGCGTGTTGCGGATGTCGTTGTTCAGGCCCGTGACGCGCAGGGTGGTGCCCTGCATCGGCGACTAAACGTTAAACTCCATCAGCACGCTGAGAAGCAGAGAACCAGAACCCAGAACCTCCAATGAAACCTCAATGCCAGTACTATCGGGGCCTTAGTCATTAGCTATACTATTTTGGGGTTCCTTATTATACTTATAGTATAATGGGCCCCAAAACCCTGTTCTAAATATTAAGGCCCCCGTATTACTTCGGGGTGTTTGGGCTCTTACATGAACCAGCATGGACTGGCACTTCGGAGCTGCAGAGTCTGGTGGAGCCCAGATGCCCAGGTCCGGGTTCAGGGGTTCAGACCGGGGACAGTCCGATGTGTTCAGCATCAGCTTGAAAACAGGAAAATTTTGGGGATCGCCTGCATAAACGATTGGTACTCAGCATAAGGCCGGGCTTCTCAGTGTTGCGCGCCGCCCTGCTTTCTCGCTGCATCGTGTGTCAGTTCTTTGCAGCACACCATATTCAGAGATGAGGGTTCTTCACCCTAAATCCTACAATCGCTGTAAAACCAAAACTCGAAGCACTCCTAAACCGTTGTTCGGTCAGGTGGAAGCAAGTCTCTCTGACAGACTCAACGATTTAACTTTAGGTGTCTACCTTCGGGTATCTTCGACCCTATGCTCAAAGATCGTAGACCCTAAACCCTAAACGGATGAAGCCAAGCCTTGCCCTACAACCAACCCAAAACTCCAAACTCCAGTCCCCTCCTGACCCCACCGGCCCCAGACGACCCGAAGGACCCTCCAAACCTCAAACTGATTGAAACAACCAGAAACTACAATCCTTACTACAGAAACTCACCAGGATAGGAGTTCCGTGGACTCTAGAAGCCCGCAGTTGCGCAAAGAACTTCGTCGTCTGGCATCCATTGACTTGCTATGCGTGTCATGAGCCATTTTATCCATGAGTATCAGCAAGGAACCCGAAATCGAAAACGCCCTACCTTAACGGCCTTAACGAGAAGGATTCAGGGCCGCGTAGGGAATACGAAGATGTACTGCCTGTTCCGAGCCCTACAAGACATACTGCCCTCAACCCTCACGGCCCGAAAGCACCTAGGAGTTTCCGAGAATAGGGGACCCCACTATAGTACCCCAACTAGTAGGATCCTTATTATAAGGACCCCAAAATAAGGTACCCCTAATTTTCGGAAACTCCCACCTGGGCATACTGGAATGACCCGGAGCGCGGTGGTGGGCCAGTGACCATGGCTCTCCGGGATTTCGGGCGTTTCGAAGGCTTAGGCTGCGGAATATTGCGCTTTGCCTTGGTGTTCAGATCGATGGGACCTAACAGAGGGCCCTTAATCGTTGGACTAGGGCTTTGTAGTACATGATACGATAGCTATCACAAAGAACCTGAGGGAATTGTATTCCTGATTCTCAAACCGTCGATCTTTGCGTTCGAAGCCTGGTCTTAGGTCTGCGTCTGGCCGCCATCCTAACTTCGAGGCACTGAGGGCCTAGGGTTCAGGCTGAGCGTGAAGGTCCACTGCCTCGGGTCTCGGGGTTTGGTTTGGGGGATGCGGGTTTAGGGCTTACGGCCACCAGTTCCTGTCTTCTCCCTCTGCCGAACCGGAACCTCTTTTGAGGCGAGCTGTTTGAGGCTTTGAGGTTCGTGGTTTGCGAAGGGAGAGCCGAGATGACGATCGACAGCGCCGAGATCACAATCATTCTAAGACAGAACACACCCTATGATGTTGTCCGGAAGGCCTTAAGGTCTCTCTCTCTCTCTCTCTGTCTCTGTCTCTCTTTCTCTCCCTGTCTCTCTCTCTCTCTCTCTCTCTCTCTCTCTCTCTCTCTCTCTCTCTCTCTCTCTCTCTCTCTCTCTCTATATATATATATATATATATATGGATAGTTACATGTTTATTTATCTATTTAGTTATATATAGATAGATAGATAGATACATGCAAGTGCGTTCTGTGCTCTGCCGGGTGAGCCTTGGCAAACTGAGGCTCTCCGGGCTTGGAAGGCCGAGATCTTTGGCAGACAGAGTTCAGGTCTGCGGCTTTTTGTTGAACGGTTCGGGTTCAGGGGTCAAGGGGCCAAAAAAGCTCTGGCGTCTCCCAGCCCTGAAGCCTGAACCCCAAACTTCCCAAACCCGACAAGCGGTTTAGGGATTTGGTGTCTAAGGATGTAGGAAACAAGGATTTGGGGCTCTAGGGCTTCTAATCCCTAGGGTTTTAGGGTTTGGGGTCAAGGATCCGTTTTGCACGCTGCTTCAGCTCTTCGCGCGTCCTGTTCAAGATGACATGCTCACGTGCCGGTACATCTTCCTACATACGCTGCCGCTTGCTGCGGCTCACCGCCCGTTGGTGCTACGGATGTTGGCAGCTTCGTTGACTCCATAGAGCGGGGCAGCTTGCAGCGCATCAGCTCATGCTATGTGCTAGTTCGAAGTAATAATAGAATTATCATTATTATTATTAGTATTATTATTATTATTATTACTATTATTATTAGTTTATGTTATTATGATTATTATTATTATGATGATTACTATTAATATTTTTGTTATTACTATTATTGTTACTATTATAACAGATTACGAACTACTAACCATTATGCCAAAGAGGCAGCAAGAAGTGGACACCGATCTGTCTAGAGTCGTGGTCCGATGATTATTGTTATTATTATTATTATTATTACTATTATTACTATTACTATTACTATTCTCATTATTACTATTATTGTTACTATTATAACAGGGGTGTAGCCCATGGTCTTCTGGCTACAAGATTAAACGAACCAGTCATTGCTGCACCTCAAATTATTCAACCCTGCATTTCTGATTATATTACTAAACTCCAAATCTCTAGCCCTAAACTCCGACCACCCCGCTCACATGGAGCAACACTGGAGTGAATTGGGAAGCTCAGCTCTCAGATGCTTAGAGCCTCGAAAGGCCGTGAGGATGTGCGGCCACAGAGAATACGATATAAACTATATAATAAACAATATAAAACATATAATCTGATACTACATTGGGTATATATGCACATATGATGTACATGAGAAGAAAAACTGAATTTCCGTGTTGCTGAATCTAACCTTTACGGTTCGGGGCTTCGGCGGAATTGGGGCTCACGCTGGGGCTTGGTTTTTTTGCATTATCGACTCTCTCCAGGATTTGGGTGGTTGTCAAAATTACGGTTCTTTTTTGGGCCCCTAATATAATACGGCACCTACCATTACTATTCGGGGCACGCAAAAAGCAACCCTAATTTGACAACCGCCCAGTTTAGATTCAGAGTTGAAGGCCGAGTTCCTCGCTTCGTTCAGGAATTGCCAGGTCTTTCACCGTGAACACGCACGGGATTAGGGTCTCAGTTGCTGTTTGGGGTTTTGAAGCTTGGATCCAGCATCACAATATAAATAAAATTTTGAGCTTATTATTGAAGGTTTCGAGCGGTGAGCTCGGATTAGGCTACAGCAGCCGGAAAACAAAAACTGAGCGGAGAAGGTTCGCTACTTAAACCATCAACCTTGACAAGACACCGCCACTCCGTACCCTGAACCGTGCCAAATCATGAAATTTTCCTGAAACCCCAGAAGCCCTCTACACCCCGAACCTTAAACAATGGACCATGGAATTTCCTACAGCCCAGAGACCCTTGACGCAGATCCAAACCACAAGACCGCTCACAAAGGAGCGGGCTTCACTTCCTTGATACCGTCCTTGCTCACGATCTTACCTTTGATTATGCAACAGGATCTTGCCCGTTGGAGGAGCTTGGGGGGCAGGCTTGCAGGGGCGCTTGCAGGGTTTACAGGTCGTTATGACATATGACTCTCGGCCTGAACAATCACTCTTGGGCCGGGAGCAAGAATGATGCACGCAGTGCAAGTCACAACACTGCTGATAACTGAAGGCAGCGGCAAGTACGAGCAACGCACAGAAAACTGCATGCACGGACCATCCCGGCTACGAGCGAATCATGTCAAGACTACATGTACTACAAATAACGGAAACAGTCACAAAAGTCATAGAGCATAAAACAAGACTGGCGAAAACAAGCAGCAGCAGCAGCAGCAGCAGCTGCAGCAGCTGCAGCCGCCGCGCACCAGAGCGCGAAGGCCACGTGAGTACTGAGTGCTGCACACTTGAAGCCAGGGAGATCGACGATGAAGCGCCTAAGCAACTTAGGGCATCGGGTTTAGGGTTCGGGGTTCAACCTTGGGGGTTGCAGGGGCCGGAGGGGTCCCAAGGAGTTTCGGGTTGAGGCTGGGGCGTAGGCTGACGGGCTGAGGGTCGTAGCGAGTATGCGCTGTTGGGGGCTCAAGGGACCCGGAGAGATGCGAAAGGGCTGTGGGGCTCGGAGTTGCAACCACTGATCCTGAATCCAATGTCTGAGCATTCGGGGATTGGGCCACCCTGTCGAATCAATGGGAACAAGATACCCTGCAAGATGTCGTGCCTGCGAGATGTGAGCAAGAAAGATCCAGTAAGTTGAAATACCCCGAAGCCAAAAACCTGCAACCCCACACCTAATTTAAGCCCTAAACCCAAAAGGTCCAAACCCACATTCCCAGACAAGGCACGTCTCCAGCTCCTTGATGCACATCTTGATGATTTCAATGGCCTAGGGGAAGGGAACCCCTTCGGCGACCCTGAAAGAACTCCTCAAGGGAACCCTGAAAGGAACCCGGATTTCGTTTTGACGGCGGTTGGTTTTAGCCAAAGACCGCACTTCCAACATGGTCACGAGACAACGGGTAATGATTATCATGAGAGAAAGAGAGAGAGAGAGAGAGAGAGAGAGAGAGAAGGGAATGAGCATACCCTGATGCCTGAAAAGAAACCCTCAAGCCCTAAAGCCCTGAAGCCCTAGAACCCGAAACTCCTACAGCTACGAACGCAAAAAATTACCCAAAGCCCCCAAAGACCCCAAAGCTTCACGGGCGAAGCCTGGAAGCCGGACCCTTAGCCTCCTACAGTAAACCCCTTATAGTTGGAAACCTGATGAAGGCCAAATCATGCTGGAATTCCCTATACATTACTCTTAAGGATTGAGGCCATTGGGTTTCCAACTTTTGGGCTTCTACTGTAAACCCTCTCCGCCTCTGCCTCCTCGAGATTTGGCTTCCAGTACCGATCCTGGCGTGGAGTTGTCTCTGTCTGTTGGCTCTGAGGCTTAAGGGCTTGGAACTTTGGGAGTCTAGGGTATTAGGGTATTGGGAAAAAGGCTTTGGAAAGCCGGGGTTCAGGGTATTAGTGTTAAGGCTTTGGGTTTTGGGGTTTAGGGCTTTGGGGCTTTAGGGTGTTAGGGCTGGCAGGGTGTTTAGCTTCTTCGGTTTAGTTTTGGGCTGCTGGGTTCAGGGTTCTGTCTTGCGAATCTGGTGCAAGCAATAGCCTTATGTGAACAGACTAGACTACGGTCTTTCTTCTGGGGCTTGGCAGCCTGCGGGTGCAAAGCAATCTTCTGATTCCAAGTCCGCCCAGTAGGAGACAAAGTGAGATTCTACGCGACTCCGCTGCGACAAAGCATAGCACACGGGCTTGGGGCCTGCTCTAGATCAACTTCCCCTCTGATGTACCAAGTTCACAGTAGTTGATGTTAGCAAAGTGTTTAAAAAGAGCATCGGCTTTCAAGACTCCACATGCTTCTGCAACCTCGCCCTCGACGAGAGACGAGAGGTGGAAGCTCAACGAGCCGTGACCAAACCCTATGGCCGAAAACCCGGAAGCTTCAGCCAACCTCAACTCCACGGCCCCGAAACCGCGAAGCCACAGAAAACCCAAAATGCGATGGAACCCTGCCGGTATAGAGGCCGCGGCCATCAGACCCAGGGTGAACATCGCGCCATACCCGTGTGCTGCCTTTCACACCGTCCCCCCTTTTCCGCGGTTTAGGGCTAGGCTCCACTGTTGTTTGCTGTCAAGATTCATGACGATGCTCAGAACAGATGTTCATTAATGATGAACTTTCAAGAACGAGGAAGGTACATGGGCGCTACTAACACCAGCAATCAAAGTCGCAATAGTTGGCACACATGAAAGCCGCAGTAGTACTTGCATAGTCATGACAATACCGGTGCAAAACAAGCATGGATGACAGCGAACAGATATTGGATCCAACACAGTGGCAGCATCCAGAGGTAGAGTAGCAGTAGCAGTAGTAGTAGTCGTCGTCGTAGGGCGCGTAGGGGGTAGTAATAGTAGCAGCAGTAGTAGTAGTAGTAGTAGTAGTAGTAGTAGTAGCAGCAGCAGCAGTAGCAGGAGCAGCAGCAGCAGCAGCAGCAGCAGTAGTAGTAGTAGCAGCAGCAGCAGCAGCAGAAGCAGCAAATGGTATGGACGGTGTCGCCTCGTCAGACGGCGTGGCACAGAGCAGGCTGACGTGGCAAAGCGAGACCCTTCATGGTCAGGCCTAAACAACTGATCGCTGCAGCACGATGCAGTACGAACCCCTTTTTACCCGGAAGCCAGAAGAATTTCGACACTGGAGTGCCTTGTTCACCTTTTCGCTGCTGGCCAGATAGTCCTGAGCGGGCGCCGGCTGTTTTGCGCCGTAGGGATGGAGGGTGGGAGGCTTGAGGGTTCGAACTTAGATCGGGCACAGTACCGGGTGCATGAGGCTTATTGCACTTGTCAGGCGTTGCTTGCGAGATACACGTGAAGGAAAATGCTCGCAAAGACCACCTGACATGCGTCTGGCATCATGCACCTTGCGAGAAAACCTGAAGCCCCAAAGCCCGAAATGCATCGAAGACCCCAAGAGCCTCACGTCCCAAACGCTGTGAAACAAGGCTGACGGCTAAGGACTCCGGTGTCGGAGCTGAGGATCTCGAGCAAGCTCTCGTGGTCTACTCCCGTAGCACTTAACTCGTTGCCTTAAGAGGCCAATGGGGGATGAGGGTTTAGGGTTTAGGGTTGGCAAAACCTGAATGAGGTGGCAGGGAACCGCAGGCAGAATGGCCCGCACGTGAAACTGCAGAATGATCGCCACGCGAGCAGTTGAAGCCCTGCTCTCGAAAGTCCCCTGAGCCCTTAACCCTAAACCCCAACATCTCTCTTTCGACTGAGGCGAGGTCCATGAAGTAGAGGCTGGGGCCCTCTGCATCAATGCCAGCGACAAGGATGTCGGTCTGCAGAGCGGGTTGGAGGCTCGGCTCACTTCAAAACTTTCGGGCCTAGATGGTCTGCCCTAATTAAACCCTGAGACCTAAGTCCGAGAACACTGAAGCTCTAGCCTCGGATCACCCTACGGCACAAAAAAGTTTTCCCCCCGTGAGCCTCACCCCACAAGCCGAGCGTGGAAGCCCTGAACCCTTCTACCGGGTATCCCTCTGCTCCACCAATTCCTCATAAGGTCTGCATCTCTGACCCTCACGCCAGAACACAAACCCCACCATACACCCTCCTCAAACACCGCTCCGCCTGGAAGGGGCCTTTCCTTAGAGCGTGGGCTAACTCGTTCCGCGTGAAGCTCGCTGCGGCCTGCGCAACTGATGCGTGGCTCTGCTGTACGGAGCTTTCGGATGTGCGGTAAGTGCTTACACTCAGCAGAAAACCGGGGAGTGGGGCTGCGTGGCGCTGTAAGGCATGGGTGCGGGATCGAAGAAGATGAAGCCTCATGATGAGAAGAAGAACCACCCAGGGTGCAAGCGGAGGACAGTCATAAGAGTGTAGGCGATCGTTGGGGCATGAATGGCACAGGTGGCTCTGGCGACAAAGGAGCAGATAGATATCGGTCCAAATGATCCCTCTCCACGACCTGCGTACTGAACCCTGAACCGCACCCGACCCTGAGTCCTCCCGAAATGCTCAAAGCTTGTGCCCCGTACAGCAGTCAACCCTCTACGCCCTGTCGAGCTCCTTGGTGGACATTGGGATTCCTGTTCTGAGCTCATTCAGCTTCACGTTCTTCTCAATGAATTCCATCTGGCAGGCGCTGGAAGTGACGACCGCAACGCTAACCACAACGGCAACCACAACAACCAGGAGCAGCAGCAGAAGCAGCAGCAGAAGCGGCAGCAGCAGCATAGCAGCAGCACCAACAGCAGCACCAGCAGCTGCAGCAGCAGCTGCAGAGGCAGCAGCAGCGGCAGCAGCAGCGAGCAGCAGCCGCAGCAGCAGTAGCCGCACAGCAGCAAGATAAGACGACAAAGAAGAAGAAAGGGAATGCAACAACAACGACAGCAGCGCTCATATGAGCCGTAAAGTATGGTACTAATTGAACGGCAATCACTGTCAGAAGTGTTATCTCGCAATCACTTGAGTTAAGGGCTTCGGCTTGTATGTTACTTAAAAATTGGCCCCATCAAGATTAAGAAGAAGCCGGATGGGCTTGGGAATGAGGGCCCGGAACCCAAAGCCACGAAGACCAAAACCCGCAAGTCCCCCCACTGAGTCCAGCGCCTTTAACCCCGACGCCTGCAACTCCTAAGCAACAACCCCGAACCTCAAATCATCAAAGACAAGCGAGAACCATGCCCGCTAGATTCTAGATAGTTGCAAAAGCCTTATGAATCCCCAAACCCTCATCTCTCTCCAACCCCCCCTGAAAACCCTCACTCCCCAAACCCTAAAGATACTACGCCCTAAACGCAAATCCTCCAAGCCCCGGGCGAAGTTCGCAGTGTCTGCAGGCGGCCCAGAGCAGGCAAATAGCATCTTTCCTACCTCCAGAGCTACTCTGAGGGTCTGGGCTTGGGGGGCCCTAGACTACTAAGGGCACCTGAAAGGAACCCCCATTAAGGCATCTACTTTTTGGATCTGTTAGGGGGTCTGGGAATCGTCTATGGGCGTTGGTGGGAGAGCCTTGAGATCTTGACATGTGACGGTCTAAGATTCCGGAGTAGGGATGTAGGGTGTGTGGCATTGGGCTTTCGGGGGTACAGTTTGCGGCGTCAGGGTTCAGGAGCAAGGATTTCGAAAGACGGGTTCCACGTGCGAAAAGGAGACAAGACGTTTCGAGATATGTAGGAATCTGGATGATGATGCTGGTGATGACTCTGAATGGCACCACAGCGGTGCTGCTGCCGGTGGTGGCTGGGTCGTGCGGGCACAGGGAGCTCTTGTGTGGCTTGGGGGTTGAGATCCTGCTCAAAATGATGTAAAACACTGATACGAAGTATGTACCCTAAACCCGAAATCCGCGGAGGGTTTAGTAGCTGAGGGAGTTGGGTTCCAAGCCGAGGCTGGGCTGGGGATCCAAATAGTGGCCTTCCAGATCTTGTCTGCGTCGTTCTTCAAGCGGATGATCGAGTAGGCCGCCTGGACAACAGAAGCAGAGCCCCAAAAAAAGCTAATATACAAGCGCAAATAAGTACCCAGAGTATTTTGGTGGTTCCTTGTTATATTTCTACTACAATATGTTCCCCAAACCCTACTCTAGTTATCTATATTAGAATCTACTGTATCTGTGGCTGCCCCGCCTCCACGAAACCCAAACCCAGCACGGAACCCTCTTGCCGCTTGCCCCCGGCAAATCAAGCGCCATGACCTTGACGACCCGAGACCTCTCCTTCCCCAACAGACCTCATCAAAGACAACTCAATGCGGCAGTACAGCAAAACGACATAATCCTGTCAAATCATGGGGCATAAAACTTCACGAAAGAGTGATACCCGGGGCGGGAAGCACGGCGTCGAAGACATCCTCCCGAGGCCTGGCCGTCTGCTGCCAGGATCACGAAGTCCTTGCCCGCAAGGCCAAACCTTTGGGCGAAGACCGTAGCCCTGAACCCCAAAAGCCTAAATACATACATAATTACATACATACATACATACATACATTCATTCATACATACATACATATACATATACATATATATATATACATATATTTTTATGTATGTATGTATGTATGTATATATGTATATATGAGCCGCCGATCTCTCCACAAGCCCTAAACTCTCCAAGCCGAAATGGGAGCAGGTTCAAGACTTCGGCCTCAGGTTCTGAGGGTTACGGCCTGGGGTTTAGACCGGCTCGGGGATTTTTCGGTTGGAGAGCTTAGTTTTGGGACGTGGGTCTTGGCAATTCAGGCTGTCTGTTCGGATTTCGGGTGTCCCCAAATAGCACCTCTGCACCCTTTGCTCTTTCGTTGCCCTTCCTGGTCCGTGTCCTCGGCAAGTTTACGGCTTGGGGTAGAAGCTTAAGTATTAAGGTCTGGTGCGAAAGAGACCCTAAGCGGTCTCTGAACCCATCTTCAACTACACCTGAAACCCCTTAAGCCTTAAAGTTTACACCCACGATCCTACACCCCAGAAACTTAGGCCTAAGCTTTTCAGCCTCCAGTTCTCGGAGCCAGAAGCTAAAAATCCCCTAAAGCCCTGAATCCTGAGCATCCGGCATCGCTTCAGTGCCCATGGCTTCGAGATTTCGGACCCTGTTTCGGCCTGAGCTTTAGGCTGGAGGGCTTCAGGCTTTTCGGGCTAAGGTTTAGGGTTTATATAGGGTTTAGGAGCCTTAGGGTTTTGGGTTTAGGGTTGGTGGATTTAGAGTTTCAGGGTCCAGGGGGCAAGGCTGAAGTCCCGACTTGGGATTTCGAGGTGCCGGGCCCTAAAGGGCTAGGGGCTTTGGTGGTCTGGAGCTTGGGATCGGGGGTTCAGAAAATGGGGGACCCTAAAATGGGTGGTTGTCAATCTTAGGGTCCCTTTTTGGATCCTTATCATAATACGGCACCTCATATTAAGAGTACCCAAAAAGGGACCATATTTTTGACAACCACCCATATAGTACCCTAAATAGTAGGATCCTTGTTATTAGGACCCCAATATAAGGTACCAGGGTGTAGATCTTAGAGTTTTGGGGCGCAGGGTTGAGGGTTGCTGGCTGCACGATATGCAAATGCGGGGGGCTTTAGAGCTAATTGTTCAAGGCTTGCCACAGTGCCTGTTAGCTGAACATACTTGCTTACAGCCCAATTTTACGAAGCAGCCGCTGTAGGCAAATCGATTCTCAATCGTTATGATCCCATCTGGCAGAACCGAAGTTTGAGGCAGAACTTTGTCTTGCTCTGCCACACTACATCTAGTCACGAGAACCGCTTGAGAACTCAATACTGCCAAGCACTTGACCTGTAGCCGTGGCAAGCACAACAGAAGCGGCAAAGTAGACAGCAAATACGATGACAAAGAGCAACTGAAGTAACACTAAGAAAACAGGACGAAAGAGCTCTGAACAGTTATGGTCCTATGATATCATGAGGCCCCTACAGTACAACAGAAAGGAGGAGGACAAACTCACAAAGGCTCAGACAAGAGCTCTGGGAGGGCCCCTGCTCGGAAGCCTTGCGACTTCAGATTCTGAAACCAAGTGAACTTCAAGAACTTCATTGAACCAGAAACCGCAGAAAAGCTCCAACGCTAAACTTGCCCCGTGCCCTACACCATGTCCCGGCCTTCTTCGGAAGATGTCGTAGATCTCAGGGCGCTTTAAGGCCCTCTCTCTAGGGTGCTGATTGTTGGAGCCAAGGAGCAGTAACAACGCATGGCGATCGGGATAAAACCCAAAGCCCCTAAACCCCCAAAGCCTAAGCCTCAGATATGCAGCACTCCAACAAGACCTTCAGCCTGAGAACCGGATCAACCCCAAACCCGAAACACTGCAAATTTGCAGGAGCCCCCGCAAACCCTCACATGTTTAGGGTTTTACGACGTAGGGCTCAGGGTTTAGAGGCTGTAAGGGCTTTTGGGTTTCGGGTCGTTGCAAGCGTGTTCTGTATATGCGGAAGAATCGAAAGTGAAATTTCAAGAAATAATGCGACGAAACTGGAGACCCGAAACCTTTACCTAAACCCTAAACCTTACCGTTAACACCTTGAGCGGGGTTGCGGCATCCCCGCCAGTCAACACAACTAAAACAATAAACTAGACCCACTGCTTAACCCAGAACCCGAAAAAAATACGGAGTCACTGCTTTCGTCTTCCTGGGCTGCTTGAAAGGTTCGCTGCACGGGGGGTCTGGCACTGTCGTCCGGAACTCTGCCACATGAGAGTCAGTCGGGCCTTCAGGGTTGTAGGGCTTCAGGAATGCAAGACTTAGGAAACGAAGTGTTTGGGGTTTAGGGATGTGGGGGTTGTATGTTTTTCAACGCGGAATTCAAATCATCCTGAAACGCCTGGAGCCTGCAAGCTTAAGATATGAAGATCTGACGGCCCCGAATTCGGCTGGCATCTCTTCTGCGTTGAAGGTCGTCTGTCGCACATCAGCTCCAGCACATCTCTATGTCCCTGCTTCACAATTCCCAGGACTGAAACTCTCCGCCACTGGACTAGCCTTGCCCACTCATCAAACATATGGGTGGTTGTCAAAATTTTGGTACCCAACAAGGGACCTTAATTTTGACCAAGTACCCATATCATCAGTACTCTTCTCCTCACCAGCGCTATGCAGATTATTTTCACCGGCTGCTACTGCCAATGCTTCTGCTCCTAAAGCTAACGCCACCGTTGGTGATGCGAAGGAGTTCGGCTATTGCTAGTAGGTCGTCTTGGTTGCAAGAAGAGCCAAAAGCTTGCCAGTGCCGTTATGCATGAACCTTGCAGCACTCTCTGATTGCCGTCATAGGATTTGGGGCCCTGCTTCGAGATCCCGTATCCGCAATCCATCTTCCACCCCTGAGCCCGGGAGCCCTTATCCACTAAGCTCCAGGCTCTTTGTAGCCCGAACTCTGAACTTTGAAACCTAAACCCTAAACTCCGAACCCTAAACCCAAACCCCGAACCCTAAACCCCGAACCCTAAACCCTAAACTCTGAACCCTAAACCCTAAACTCTGAACCCTAAACCCTACAATGCTAGGTGTTGTTCAATGGACAGAGACCCGCAAGCAGTCGGAGGACTCCCAGAGGACTTGCAGATGTCATTCGTACAAGACCGGCAAGCTGATAGGGGACCTTTAGGGTTCCTTTAGGGTACCTTAAGGGCTCCTTTAATTTAAGGGATCTATAGGGGTTTAGGGTTTACGGGTCCCTTTGGGAGTTTCCGAAAATATGAGACCCTAACATAGCACCCTGAAGAGTAGCATCTTTATTGTAAGGACCCCAAAATTCGGTACCCCTAATTTTCGGAAACTCCCAGTAGAGAGAACAGCATTCAGCTCTGGAGGGTTAAGGATGTCAGGCTACAAAGCTACAGTCTCTTTTGTAAGAAGGCTTGTTATATTTGAAGGTGAAGGGTTCAGGGTGTCGGGGCTCAGAGTTTAAGCACGAGACGGCGCAGTCACAGGAATGGGGGATCACTCAAGTCAGGCTCGTGAGTCTCCAGAACAAGCATCTGTAACAAGCTCAGACGGTGTGGAGATAGGTGTTGCCTGGTGCCTTAACAGCCATGAAATTTAGGGCTCAGGGTTGAGGCTTCGGGGTGTCGGGCTTGGGTGCGGGCGCAGGTCTTCTTTTAACTTCGGCTTCTTCAAACACAGCTTCGGATTCCTCTGAGAGTCTCTCTGGTGAGCGAGGCGCCAAGTTTAAACACAAGCAGAATGGAACTTCTGGAAACTGGCCTTTACCCCACGCTACAGTCAACAGAGACATCACCTCCGTTTTCACAGGGAAAGGCTGATAAGGGATTTCGAGTCTGTTTAACATACTATATTACCAACTTATGCTATAACATACTGAACCTCATCAAGCCATCTTCTGCTGGTGCCCTCGAGGCTACTCAATTCCATCTGCATTTTGATCTCCAGTGTGCAAGCCACGCAACATAGCCTGATCTGCCAATTGAAGCATGGTAGGAGCTGCTTTCATCAAGTCATGAGCCCTTACTTCCATCATACTGTTACTTCAAGGCCCCCACGACTGGGACTTCCACGTTGTCGAGCCTATGGCTTAAGGGCTGACCCATCCCGAACCCTAAACCCACTACACAACCAACCCCGGTGCGTAAAGCCTTGTTCCGCTTTGGGAGTGTGAGCCCAAAAAAGGAGCTTCGGGTTTTGGGTTTGGGGTTTAGGATAGACCTCACAATGGCAGGCCGATGAAGGGGTAGCAACCAAAGATTCAGGAGTTAAGGCTGCAGGGCACACCGAGTGTGTATCCACGAGTACTCCATAGCAGCTCAGGACAAAAGCGAAAAGCCCAAGGTTCCGCCACTACCTCTCAGCAACTCGAGGAGAAGCGTAGAGCTCTTGAAATGGGCTACTCAAGCCGACCGCTCGGGTGAGTGGATAAAAGCTTGTGAATCACACAGCCTCTAACGAACAACAGCTGCATCGTCAAGCAAAACCTACCGAAGAAGAGCTTGTTGAAACAGACAAGCCGAATGAAACCCTGCTATGGCAACCGCCTAGGAAAAAGAGCCAAACATGGTGTCCTTCAACCTACCCCTACTATTGTCAGCTGTATCCCCCTTATCCGGAGGCAGTGGCAGGCGGCAGACGAAATAAAGGCCACCATCTGGCGAGAGAGGTCCGGTGGCCTACGGCTTCCGGCTTGAACAGGACAAGATATGCTGCTGTTGCTCTGGCTGAATCTTTAGGGTCCAGCGCTTGGCGCTTGCAGCATCTGACCAATATACCACAATATACTCACATACTAAACCACGCTACCAGATACTATAGGTATGTCTGTGTAACTGCACCCATCTGCCTTGGCACTTCTCTCTATCATCATAGGGACCCGTAGGAGGGTAGGGGGAAAATTTGGGGGAGGAGGGTAGGGGACTATGCCTTATTAAGTCCGTATTATGGGTATAAAGTTACGATATCAAGGCCGGTGTATCGATGCAGATCTTAAAGTGACGCGGGGCTTACGGGTTAGGAGTACTGAGGATCAGGGGTCAGTACCAGATCATACATACTGTGTTGACATGTATCATCCTATATTCTTACGATGCTTTATTGTACTATACCGTACTTGCATTATACTTCTTGACCATCTCCGCAGAGTCATCTTGCCCACACGCAACACCCCTGGCGTTTTGCAGGTGGTGCGGCGCAAGTCCTGTCCTTCTCCTACACCTGCAGAGGCCCTGGCAACTTCAAGGACTAAAGGAAAGCTTCGACTCCTTGGCGTGACGAGGGTGTGAACTTTACTGTACTCATCATGCACTACATTTTACCATATTCCACCGTAATATACACGACATTATACAGTGATGGCTGTCGGCGACTCTCGTGATGTCGATGCAGCCGCTCATGATGATGATGATGATCTTTGTTTATGCAACAGAAGATGAAGATGAAGATGGTGACCAGGGTGATGACGGTGCCAAAGGCAGAGAAGAAGAATGATAGTCAGACAAATAACATGGCAGGGATTATGCAACTAATGACCATGGCGAAAATGGTAAGGGATGCGAAGTACTTACAAGATCGTGCTGGTGAGGATGACATGACAGCGAAGATGATTAGGAACGATTAGGATAGTAGTCATGAACATGACTGGTGATGGCGATTGTTGTGGAACTGGCGGTTGGTGGTCATGGTGGCGGTGGTGGTGAGGGTAGTGGCGGCGGTATTTGTAGCATTCGTGGTTTTCGCGGCATTTGCAGTGCTTGCGGTGCTTGCGTTGCCGTTGGATGTACTTGTGGTGACTTCGATATTGATGTTGATGCTGACGTTGTCTGATCTGCATGTCTCATGCAAAAGCTGCTTCTACGACGCTGACACTCCAGACCACGAAGGTGCATCCTATTGATTCTCCAGGTCTACCAGGGCAACACTCTGCTTCATCCGCGTGAAACTGCAACATTCATTGCAAGACCCAAAACATGCACTGCTTTTCGGCCGCGTCGTAAACCAATTGGCGCTACGGCCAAGAGCAGCAGCAGCAGCAACAGCAGCAGCAGCAGCAGCAGCAACAGCAACAGCAACAGCAACAACAGCAATCACAACCACCAACCACAACCACCACAGCAACGACAACAACAGAGACAACAACACGGGCAGCAACGACGACGACAATTCGGACATTGCCGTGACCAGCATCGGTACCTTTTGTGTGACTGTCTCCATGGTGTTGCGCATCGTAATCGTAAGTTCTTCCATGTAGGCTCGACTCCCTGCTCTCAAGCCGTTCTTGTAAGAGCTCTTATGCTGGATGCGACCCTTGGCCTGAGAGCTTGCGATTTTTTGGGCTCCTGCAATGGCATGCCCTCTTTGTGAGAGCTCAGTGATGTCAGAATCAATCTCCGTCGGTATGGCGACAGATCTGCATGTTCAGGCCTGGAGCTTCAGAAACCCCGTGCAGTGGTCTTAGCCTTTTCTCCTTCTGTCAGTGCTGGTTGCAGACTCGCACCACTGTCATGATTATTATCTTCCATATGAGTGACACTACTGTCATGATTACAATGGTTGCTGCCACATGGTCACTGATACTCGAGATTCAAGCCCTTATGCTAGGCACCGTCTTCCTTCGGCTTGGTCAAAAGAATCTAAAGCACGCGTAATAAAGCAAGCACTATTGGCCTGAAATCCTGAACCCCTTCTCCGGAGTTTTCGGGGGGTCGTGGGTTTCGGGTGCCTTTCGAGTCTTGCGTTTAGGCGCTTGAAGCCGAAAAGCGCTTCTGACAGTGCCGGTGCCTGGCCTTCTCACACATGGACATGCTCAAGAAAGGAGTTTGGGAGTGCTGCTCGGGCTTTCACGCTTTAGAAGGATTTAGGGTTCAGGGCTTTAGGGCTTCCACCTTGCGCATGGACACCGAACAACTTCAAGCCAGCTCCTTTCATATCTTGTCAACCGATACATGGGATCAGGTCCACAAAGGCGGGTTCAGAATCACAAGAGCTCCCCAGCAGTTCATACTGAAGTTATGTAGCGGTATGAAGGGATTTGGGGTTTAGGGAGTAGGCTCCAAATTTGCAGACTGTAGCCGCTGACGGTGCAGGCTTCACTGCACCCAAAAACTCTGACCTCAAGCACGCTGCAAACACCCCACGCTCGAAACCTGACCAAAAAAAACCTACTTCCCAAAACCCCCAAAAAACCTAAACCCCAAAGCCCCAAATGCCCCAAAACCTAAGACTCTAAAGCCCAAAATTTCCCAAAACCCTGTAACCCCAACGCCCTGAAGACCTAAATACCCCCATGGCCCCAGAGCCCTAACTTCCCCAGCAGAACCCAAAGCTTGGACATAAACTTTCGCAAAGGTCCCGGCTGCGGCCAGGATCACTTCCGACTCGCCGGCTGTTTCCTCGACCGTCTTGGCACAAAGGTCCTCGGCTCTACGCACTGGAGAATTTAAGGATTTCCGAAACTTAGGGGTACCTTATTTTGGGGTCCTTATAATAAGGATCCTACTATTTAGGGTACTATATTAGGGTCCCCCATTTTCGGAAACCCCCATTTAAGGATTTTTTGGAGCTCCTTCTTATGTCTGCCCAATCCGGGGGTTTAGGGCTTCTAGAGCTGCTAAGGTTTCAGATTTCTAGGGTTTAGGTGCTAGGGCTTCTAGGGCCTCTAGGGTTTAACGTTTCAGAAATTGGGGTTTTGGGTCGTCTCGGGAGTCCAGAGTTTAGGGCTCTAGAGTTTAGACTTTTGGGGCGTAGAGTAACGAAAGTCGTGGACTAGGGGCCGAAGTCCTAGGCAATAGGCGGCTCAGGCTTTCGTTTGACTAGGATGCCAACGGCCTTGCTGTGCCACGGGACAGCGGCGCAGCTGGCGTATGGAGGGATGAAGGTCCCGGGCTTGGGCTTGAGGCTTTTTTTGATTACAGCTGGCAGCTCAAGAGGTCCTACGAACGGAAACTGAGGACACGCTTCCTGATGCCGTAGATAGTTGTGATCACCTTCCTCGTCAGTTTCAACCTGAGGTCCCGAACTTTAGCCTTCAACTTCGCCCCTGAAGCTTCACGTTTGATCCTCAACCTGTGAACTCCAACCCTATTCCCGAAACCGTAACCCTGAGCCCCTCAGCTCGACCTTCATCATTGGAAGAGAGTTTGGGGGGGTATCTGATACTACAGTTACTTTGGGATATGCGGGGCTATGAAGCGATGTCATTGCACATTGCTCCGACCCTTAAAAGAACCTTTAGCTTCAAGACCCAAAGCCGGGGTGCTGCGCAGCGCAGTGACGTGGGTCCACTGAGCCTCTGCAATGCTTCCTGGACCTCGTGCGGTGCTTTGGTTCAGAACCCCATGGGCGATGTTACCCCAAAAGTGCACCCTAAACCCTAAACCCTAAACCCTAAGAACTCTGACATGATCCAAAGCCGAAAAACTTCCAGAAGCCGAAGCAAAGGCCGAAGGAAAGCACAGAGAGCTGTCCGGTAGGATACAGCTTTAAGGTTTCACGTCCGCGGGCTGCCCTCACCATAAGGGCCCTTCATTCCTCAAGGCCCTAAACCCTAAACCCCTAAACCCTAAACCCTCAACCCCTAAACCCTAAACCCTAAGCCCCTAAACCCCTAAACCCTAAACCCCTAAACCCCTAAACCACTAAACCCTAAACCCCTAAACCCTCAACCCTCAACCCACCCTCAACCCTCAACCCTAACCCCTAAACCCTAAATCCCTGAACCCAAACTCTGCGCCCTCCCTCACGGAGTCTCCACTTGGGGCCCTGGCCATCTGGATGGACGCCTCTGGGGGTTGCCATGGCTTAGGGGTATAGGGCTCAGGGCTCAGGGTTTAGGGTTTAGGGTATAGGGTTTAGGGTATAGGGTTTCGGGTATAGGGTTTGGGGTTTAGGGTATAGGGTTTAGGGTTCAGGGTTTGGGGCTTTGCGTTTCTTACGGAGGTTGCTAGGAGGACGACCTTCTGATATTAACACGGGGTTGTCTGGAAAGTAGGTGGTTGGGTTTGCTGCATGTCTTCATAATACTTGGACTCCTGCTACTCACTAGGGGTCTACGCGCCATCCAAGACGATGGTGGCTAGCATGCAGTCTTCCCACCACACGGACACCACCAAACTCCTAGAACAAGGGCAGGACCCAGGTCGCTGGCTGTAACCACTGTCCTAGCCAAGATGGTACTCGAGCAAGTCGTACCATGGGACAACAACAGACTCCCAACATCCCACAGCCCTACCAAAGGGCCAAGGACGTCATGCTCACAGAGGGAGTAGTAATCACCCTGCTCAACGCGTCCGCCGCTGCACGACAATCGCGTGGAAGGTCCGGTCAAACCTAGCAAGGCCCCGTGAACCTAAGCCTGACCTCCTAGCGTCGCAAACACAGCACTAAATCCTAAACTCCCTAAACCCTAAAGCCCCAAGGCCCAAAGACCCAAAAGCACAGAAGTCAGTCGGCACGCGCCTGGGCGTCCGTGCAGTGGACGAAGATCCCACCGCGGGCTTCCCACTCAAAGCCTTTGCACTACAGGGGATTAGGGTTGTTTTTGAGTCTTTGGGGTTCCCGGTTTAAGGGTTTCGGAGGCTTAGAATCTAGGTTCGGGCTTTGGCGTTGTGGAGTGTGTCATTGAGGGTGGGTTGAGGTTTCGGTGCGGCCTGGGCGGTTGCAGCCCCTTTAACACTGCTCCTGTCCCTGAAGGATCAATATCTTCTCGCCCTTGCGGTACAGCAGAAGGAATCCCAGCACTAGTCATCCTAAATACATGTTCAAAAGCTCTACCACCTCAACTTCTCTAAGATCCTCGCATCCTGAGCCTTGCGAACATAAGGATAACCACAACATACTTCGAAACCCTGCTAATCGAAATAGTAAGATTTCGGAATATTCGTTTATGGCTTTTTCTACAGTGTTATAGTAAGGACAACCACAGTACACCTCGAACTCCACTGCCGCAGTTCCGGGACGGCGGACGGTACTCCGCCCGGTCGTCCACCAAGATGGCTCCAGGATGGCTAAAAAGAGCCTGCGCTTTTTGGGGGTGCAACTTTAGAGTTGGGACTTTGGGTTTTCAAGGGAATAGGACCTCACCCGAAAACCGAAACCCTAACTCCTAAACTCTACACCCTGGAGAATGATCCGGCGTCACTTCGATGAAGCACCGAAAGTTGGGAGTGATTGGTCAAGGCCATTGCTTGGATGAGTTTGAGAAACAACACTTGTCTAAACAGGCAGCTGAGCAAGGCAAATGCACCCGAACTGCATACTTGTTAATCAACACGCAACTCTGACTCCACACCTCACATTCTATACTGGCCGCTAGACTTTCACACCATTTCTCAACCCGCCTAAGATATCAACCTCCCAAAACCAAAACTTTAAAACACAAAGCACCTCTCAAAAACCAAAACAACAATCCCGAAACAAAGCAACTCGCCAAAACAAATACTTATCCATAACACAACTCAAAACCTAAAGAGCCTAAACAATACATAACCTTATCCATTAAATAACCTATTTCCTAATGAGGTATGGGGTAAGACCCCAATAAAAAAAAAAAAAAAAAAAACATCCCCAAAAGACTATAACCCTGAACTGGAAAGTGACCCTCACATCGGATCTGACTAACATTAATTCGTGAACTGCGATTTACGCTATCCGCCCATTATTGTATATGCTTTTGCCATTCCCTTTGGTTCTTTGTTTTCCATTTTGTCTCTCTTCCTCTCGCCTTATAATGTACAATGTTCTCCCATGTATAATTTCAACAACTAGTTTTCCATTCCTTACATAAGTCGTCATCATAGAGTTTTCAATATATGGTATATTGCCGGTTAATGTACTCATAACTTTAGCTATTTCCTGTTTGGTTGCATATCCGGAAGCTTCTGCCATTAACATAAAAGTTCTCAATACTGTATATGTTTTTGTAAAATGTCCAACATGCTGTCTCTTGGTCGTCAAACCTAAGCTCATAATACTCTGATGTCTCTTTCTTTGGAAACTTAATCTCCTTGTTATTCAGTTTATTCACATATGCGCTTCTTTTGTTCTTGTCAGCATCACTATCTTTATCCATTGGTGCTCACCTTGTTTAGGTTTATAAACTAATACTTCAGTTTTTTCTCAATGAGTTCTAACTTCTCCCAAATCAACTGACTGCTGATGCGCTTGATTGGTTTCACAACATCATCCTCGCCAGACATATAAAGCTCTAGATCAAAACTTTGTTAACAGTTTGATTAACATGCGTTAAAACATCCTGATATATAAAAACATAGTTTTCTTATAACCACACGTGCTATTTAAGCATCTGCTACATAGTTTGTTGTAATCTTTGTTTGTGTTTCAACCACGGAAGCATTGTTTATCGCGACATATCTTACAGTTAAGACAGTATTTTGCACCCTCTTCAGAGACGACATCGGCCTTGTCGCTGGCGTCTACGACGAGAACCTCTGAGGGGCAGGCTTCTACTCAGTTGCTGTTTACGGTTTCTAAAAAGGACTGTACCTGGGGAGTTTAGCCAGGGAAGGCATTCAAGGGGAGCTGCGAGTAGTAAGTCTTAACCCTATGTCGAAAGTGGCATGCACGTCGTCTTTGTGAGGTGTGGGATTTAGGGCTGAGGATCTGGCTTAGAATTGGGATTGCAGAATTTGGATCTCGAGGCTCGGGGCCTGGATGCAATATCTAGGACCTTTTGAAGTAGGCGGGATGGTTTGGGCAGGGATAAGCTTGTGGATTTCAGTGCTAGGGCTTAGAGCATTGTCGGCAGCCTGCAGGAAACGGAAGGAGCTCGCTTTTGAAGCTCTGAATGCACTGGTCCGATATTGAAAACGATGGTTGAGGCTTTCTGGTGTAAGCTGAACAGGGAGCCCCAGTGGGGGAGCTTGTCTCGGGCCCCGGCACGATCAGCCGGCAACTTGAGATTCCTTAAGTAATCCAGAACCGGGTTCAGGGTTTAGGATTTAGACGGGCTCAAACGATGGGAATATTTGTTGTCATCCTTCGTCGTCGGCGTCGCTACAATGATGCCAGCAGGCAAACGTTGGCGGTTTAAGTCGCGGCGGCGATGTGGTGATGGCGTGGTGGCCCTATGAAAGAGTTCTACTTGGAGCGAGCACTAGCATCTGCACGGGTGCCAGTATCGACAATTGTACAAATGCTAGTCGTGATGCCCACGTAGCTACTAGTACTGATAACTGAGTAGTACCAATCGGTCGCACATCTACTTCTAGTAGTATCGGCAGCAACCAAAGAAGAAGAAGTCGTAGTCGTCGTCGTAGTAGTAGTAGTGGTAGTGGTAGTGGTAGTGCTAGTGGCAGTAGTGGTAGTGGTGGTAGTGGTGGTAGTGGTGGCAGTGGTGGTAGTGGTGGTAATGGTGGTAGTGGTAGTCCTGGTGATAGTGGTACCAGTAGCAGCAGTAGCAGCAGCTGTTGCCACATTCGTAGTCGTACTCGTAGTCGCGTGGTCGTCGTCGTAGTAGTAGTAGTAGTAGTAGTAGCAGCAGCAGCGGCAGTCAGAGAAACAGCGTCAGGAGGAGGAGGAGGAGTAGGCCGTCGTGCTGCTGGCAACGGAGAGCGCAAAAGTATCAATCGTAGTTGTCGTGAGGGCGAGTCATTGCAGACCTCGCGAATAGTAGGCATGCGATATCTTCCAGCACAGTGGTTTGTAGCAATCTTCGAATCGTGACGATGGCGTGCAGCAAATCGTAGAAGCGATTATGGGATTTGGTGTCTGGGCCGAAAACGAGCAGGGGCAAATTAAATTGAAATCGCAAAGCCTTTGCCATGCTGGCACCTGGCCTTTTCCAGCTCTATTTTGTCTCAAGACTCCGGCACACTCCATGAAGCTTGCAGAGACCGTGCTTGTGATACACTGAAGATGAGTTCCGAACCTCTGTGGCCTCTCCTGTTCTTACGGCCATGAGGGCTCGATGCTTCACTGTTAAGCCCACGACTTCTCGCACCAGCGCACTTTCTGCGGACCGGCCTTTGGAAATTGCTTCTGAAGTGCTAGGAGACTTGCTTTTACGGCCCGTTCTTGAGAGGGATCTGCTAAACAAGGGGCTCCCTGATTCTGTACACGGCTGAAAACTGTACCTGGCGACGGTGAAGACTTGGAGATGCAAATTCCAGAACAGGACGGAGGCCGGCCGTACTGCCAGAAGGGTTCCCCGTTTTTCAGGTGACAGCATTCCACTGTAGAAACACAAACAGAAAGGTAGGAGACACCTACGGCAGGCGTCACCAAATTCAGCACAGCCTTGCAACTCGGCAGGGCAACCATACCTCCTGCTGGAGCGACCTATGCAGCAAAACCCTCGTCGTGTGCTGCAGCCAGCAGTGGCTTCGTCGAACGACAGCATCCAAGCAGCTTCTGATACCCGACCCAGGCTGGCAAGTCCTACATCCAGAACACCAAGCATGCCAGCCTCCACACTTGCATGAATCCCGCACGACCGAGAGAGATAGAGAGAGAGAGAGTGAGAGTAAACGACAAACGGCAACGAGCCGTGGCCGTCAAGCTCCAGACCAATCGCAGTAACACCTGAAATGTACAAGGACTGCCCTCACTTGGGACCCGAGCCCAGTCCCCGGAAGGTGAGCCAGTCAGAATGGCCGGGGACAAGGGCTCCAGGTACTTCCTCCGGCTCGTGCACGGCTAAAGGCTAATGGACTTGAGGCTTTCAGGGTTGAGGGGTCAAAGGTTTCAGACAGTAGGCTTAGGGGTTGACGATTCACTTGAGGGGGGGTTGAGACTCAAGGCGGGCCCAAGGAGATGACGGGAAAGGCGTTCAAAGATCCGCGACGACGATTTCTGCTCCTGCTTCTGCAACCAATGCCTGCAGTATCCGTGGCCGTGCTTGGTCATTCGGGATCCTGAAGCCCTACACAAACCCTAGCCCTCTGGGCCTCGCTCACTACTCACCAACCGCCCCCCGCCACCCCCGGGTCCAGAGCTCCGCTCCGCCCTGCATCCAATCCAGTCGGGCCTCAAGCGGAGAGTCAGAGCCAAACACATATACAGATTCGAAGCTTAAATGTCAATCAGAAGTTGTCTTAGATAAATGGTACTATAGTGTATTATGTGTATATGGTATAGTATATAATTTATATGATACGATCGTATCTTACAACAATAGGAAGAGAACCCTGTGCTTCCCCCCACGAGGGTCCCAGCAGCTATGAGTCCGAATCCAGGTCCAGTCACAAGGCTCCCGGACCATGGCTCCGGTCTGATGGGGTCTTTAGTGTATTATGGTATAGTATATATGTTTTGGGGGTCCCGATAATAAGGATCCTACTATTTAGGGTACCATATTAGGGTCCCCTATTTTCGGAAACTCCCATATTTTATATGATATGATCGTATCTTACAACAAGTCAAAGTGAAAGTCAAAGCGCTTTAGGTCTCGGGTGAGGGCCTTTCATGTTCAGGGCTTAGGCCAACAAAATTTTGTGGGCTCAGGGCTCTCCATCCTGAGACTGATGTATGAAAATACTCACAATAGATAGAACACCCGCCACAGTGTCACTACCATCATACTAACAGCTAACAACTGTGGCCAACAGCTACTGCGCATTCTGCCGTTCAGGTTGTTGGAAATAGTTCAAGCAGTAGATCATTTTCACTCTAAGCCTTAAACCAGCCTTCCGGCCCCAAGCCTAAACCCTTGATCACCCTCAACCATGAACACAAACCCTTAAGCTCTACACCAATACATCACAATAAACCCTGAAGCCTAGACCTGTAAGCCTGTATGCTTAACCTCAATCCCACAAGCCCCAAAATCCCCAAAGTAGGTTTTGGGTCCGAAGCAAAGAACTCTTCCGTGCGCGGTGGCGCTAGGCGTCGCCACATCCTGGCATGCCCGCACTACAAGGAACAGCTTTTGGATTTGCGACTCTGGCTTGGAGGGCTGAGGCTTCAAGTTGAGAGACTTGGACACCCCAAAGTCCCTTCCAATTCCATGTCCCGGCGCACTTGCGTCGTCTGGAAAACCTGATCTGCAGCGCTCTGCTTTGTAAGGTTGGGCGTCGTAAGTCTCCTTTCCAGGGGTCACTAACGGGTGCCCTTGAGGGGACATCTGAAACGCCACCTTTGCTGTCGTACACTGTAATACACTATCCCATATTGAAAAACACTACAAGACTATAATACAGTGCAACATACCACAATATGTGATATTCTACTGTCGTATATGATACTGCACTATAATATTCCATGATATGGCGACCTTCGGATTTCGGGCTTTGGCATTCAGTACACGAGGTTGCACACCTCTGGTGCATGGTCACATCGTTGAAGGATGCTTCCGAAGTTTAGGGTTTCGTTTAGGGTTTGGGGGTTGCATCGGCTGTCCAAAGCGATCGACCCAGAAAATGTCGAAGTTCTGGACCCGAAGGTTTGGCTCCTAGACTAGATCCTGGGAAAAAGTCTCAGCCTAAACCCCTGAACATGCCCGAACCGTCAAGGGCACGTTTGACCCACATTCGAGCTATTAGCTGCAATGGGCTTCAAGATTTGACGGCTCGTTCAACATGAAGTTGAGTGCACCAGCACTAATTTTGTTGTTTTTGGGAATGTGCGGTCGTTGATGTTGGCTCTAACACCACATGGAAGCACCTGCCAGATTTCCCAGCTGCGGTATTGTCTTCACCTCTTGTCCCATGAAAGTTGAGTATTATCGTTTAGGAAATCGCATAAATATGGGTTAGTGTTCATCGTGAGCTTACAGGATATTACACTATACTTCCCAAAACCAAGACAAACCACCTGCACAAGGAGACGGGACCATACCTGCCAAACTTACATATGATAAAAGTCAGAAGAGGCCACTGAAAGGCTCCTGACAACTGGTGATGCAAGTCTAAGTCCCTGAATCCCTCAGTCCTGAAGTGCACACGCCTAAGTTACAAGTGCCTTCGGAACTCTTGTACGCACCGCAAAGCCAAGGCACTCTTTCGGCTGTCTCTTCGTGCGCTCGGCGACGCCCCGCTCAAAGTCCGCTAGGACTCCGTCCTGCGTCAGTTGTGGGTGAGCCGAGCATGTCCTGAAGAGGGCCTATGAGGCTTTTGAATACACTCTGAGGTTTTTGGCTGCAGCCCTTGCAGGAGCTGTGTCATAGTCTATGCTGAGTGTTGGTGTTCGTTGTTGGTTGTGCACCTAACGTCGCAGTGTTCATGCAGTAAAAGCGTGTACAAGTCTACATCACGTATTGTATAGAGTATGCACATCTCCATGGCGGGTTCATTATCTTACACTGCTCCTGCTATAAGAACTTCTAGAAACAGAATGTTGAGCTGGAGGAGCCTGGGTGCCCAGGGCCCCAGAGGTCAAGAACGATGACGGCAATACTGCAGAACTGCCTGAAATCATGATGGTGGCCTCAAAGTACTTTTACGTTCAGTTTTCAGGCTCTAGCCTGAAAAATGCAATCACCTCCCAACACAAATCGGATTTGGGCCTGGAGGACGTAATACTACTGGGTACTTGGGGTTGGGTCGATTCACCACACATTGACAGCGAAAGCCCGATCCCAGTAAGAAAAACAGAGAAACAAGTCAGGCTGGTTCTTGAGTTTGTCTCAGTCAGTAAAATGCCATCAACCACGACAGCATTCTCATGTCGCACTGTGGCCACTCATCCCTACCAAAGCCCATAAGCGCGACATGCCGAAGGGTTCTGTAGAGTTCATCGAACACATGCAAATGAGATGGGTGCGGCATGGACAAAGCCGAGCGTACAAACACGAAGCCACTGCAGTCCGGTGTTGGAACCCCTCACCGCGAAATCCATGGAACCATGCTAAACCCTAAACCCTAAGCCCATGCGCAAGACACGAGGAACAGTAAACGCCATGGAAATTACTTGGCTGAGGGCCAGGTCGCAGTAGACTTGCCATCTCGTCTCCACCTCTGTCACTCATCTCTGGCTTGTAAGTATTATTATTCGGCGGTTCTGCCAGCACCCCTCGTTGAAGCAAAAGGGGGGGTCCCTTGCTCTCAAAGTGTTGGAGACCCTCTTACCTCTGACTCTTATGTATTGAGTCTTGGAGTTGCGTCTGGGCCAGGAAAACCGAGATACGATTATGGAGCCGCAGTGTCCTTTGCGTTCCATTGCTTTTTTCCTGGACACCTTCTGCAAATCCAGCTCGCTACACCGGAAACCACCGTCACTAACGGAGCCTACGGATGCCCTAAAGATGTATTCCTCCACAGGCCTTGCACGAGAACCCCTGAGCCTAGAGGCGCCTCAACTAAGGAATCTCAGGCATACTCCTCTTCTGACCGTCGTGGTGGCGTCCCGAATCGGAAGGTGGCCGATCATCTGCGCCACGCCGCCAGCCAACGGTCGCGGGAAGAACGAAGGTCGCGAGGGAGGGGAGCAAGATTCGTCGACACGGCTCTCCCACGTAACCGGCTTCCTCGCTTCCACCGCGGGCGGACTTTGGGCTTAAAGCTTGTGTCTGATTTGCGGTATCTTTAACTGGACAGGGAATCGCTTCGGACGGGTTCGTTGCACCTGGAACTTTGAGAATCTCACACCCACAATTCAAGCATAACGACACTATTGAGGAGGGTCCGTGCGACGTTGAGCAGACTTACAAGTTACAACTCCAGTTCAAAAGCACACCCCCGAGCAGCATGCACAGCCTAGCCAACAGCCCACATCAGTCTCCACGCTACACATGGCTGTATGTCTGGGAGTTTAGGGTTGGGAGTTGTCAGGATGGCCCAGCATTCTCAACTTCGTGTTCACCACTGTTGGTATCTGCAGCATTCAGGTGCCACCTGTCGGTGAATCCACGACATGCTTCTTTGTACTTGCCAGCGTCTTGTCGCAACCCAGAGGCTATCAATCTGTGTCTTGCTTTCGCTCCGGGTCTCCATTATCACTCTCTGTTCGTGTTGGCATGAGGCCCACTAGCACTGTCAGAACCATACCAAGGTGGGACAACCAACACAACCACTACAAGCAATATACGGGTACAGTGTCACCAGAGAATTGCTAACCGCCTGCCCGTTTGACCCTGCAAAACCCCACAGCTCTGGACCCATCCCCTTTGGCCCGGGCGGGGACAACGTTGTCTGGCCCCTGCACACGGCGCGTCGGGAGGCTCGGCCCATAGTGCCCGTGGTGTGTGGATTTCCAGCGAAACAACTTTGCACGCGAGACCTTCGAAAAGTCCGGGCAAAGCTGAGAGGGGGAAGAGGTAGGCTCCAAGGGGCGACGCGAGCTGGTCACTCTCGGTAGCTATGCAACCTAGCCTAACTGGCATCACTGCAACCGGCATGTAGGGCGAACCTTGGCTAGAGGGCTTACTGGCTTGCAGAGGAGGTGTGGATAAACCCTCCTTCGGGAGTCACAGGACTCCAACATCCTGCCTTTGCATTGCTCTCGGAGACCTGAGGCATCAACTCAGCCAGGGGTCTCACTGGGCTCCTTACCTCAATGACTTGCTACGCCTTGAGCCTCCACACTACTACTCGCTACTACCCTGCACCCTGAACTCTGGTTTCTCAACCCTATAACCAGAAACTATGCTTTCTCCAAGCCTTGCTTAGGCCACAAGGCCCGGTGTAGTCTCGGAATCTCAAAAAAACTTCGGAGTGCTGATCCTTTGGAGTGCATTTCGGGAGGGGGGGGTGCCGGGGCCTGCCTACCCATCTACGTCTGCAGCTACAGTCCATACCTGTGCATTCGTGTACATACGCATACCAATGTGTATGTGTCACACACGCACATACAAATTTGCGCACAGCTATGCATACGAATGCTCCTTTGGAGATTATACACCACATCTTGAGCCATAGGGCCTCAGGCATAGAGGCCGACCATATGTTCAGAAATGCATTTGTAAGATTCCACACATGCGGATGACCCAACAGACACATAGCCCAAGATTCTGAAAGCCAACAAACCGAAGGCAAGTATCAAAAACAGCGAAAGCAAGAGCCGAATGCTGAGCCATTTGCTCCGAGTCCTTATCTGGATTTAGGACTACTTGGCTTAAGGATTAAGGTTGGGGACGGCCGCTTCTTCCAGAGAGTCTGGGAAGCCGCGCCGACTCGTCTCCGCTGGCTGGAGCAGTGGTGTTGCTGTCCAGTTCCCAGCTGCCTGAGAGCACGATGCCCAAACGTCTACATCAAAAGATGCAGTAGTTGACACCTGTCGACGAAAAGAGAAAGCAGTGAAACCTTGAAGCCCAACGTCCCAAGAGAATGCGTATCGTTTCGGGTTGCCAAGGCAGGGAAACTAAGCAGAGCCATCCGGAAGCCGAACCAAGAGAGTCCAACGCCAGAACGCTTGCACTGCTTTCGTATCAGACATTCCTATCTGCTAAGACGACTGGTAGTCGTCGTAGTAGCAGTAGTAGTAGTTGTACTACTACTACTACTACTACTACTACTACTACTACTACTACTACTACTACTGCTACTGCTACTGCTACTGCTACTGCTACTGCTACTGCTACTGCTACTACTACTACTACTACTACTACTACTACTACTACTAGCTACTAGTACTACTAGTACTACTAGTACTACTAGTATTAGTACTTATACTAGTACTTGTAGTAGTAGTAGTAGTAGTAGTAGTAGTAGTAGTAGTAGTAGTAGTAGCAGGGCAGCAGCAGCAGCAGTAGTAGTAACTTTAGTAGTATATGGTGTATCAGCAGCTGGAGTAGTAGCAGCAGCAGCAGGCGCAGGAGCAGGAGCAGAAGTAGGGGCAAAAGCAGCCGCTCCGACACCACTTGCAGCGCACAAGTTCTATCCGCAAACCCTCAAATAAAAGCATCCCGAATCCTGAAATCCACGACCCTCAAGTTGTGAGGGCGTTGCTCTCCAAGGCCCTCCTGGGAATTCAGGGCTCTTGAGAATTGAAGCAGCGATGCATCGCTTCACGCACACTTTTCCTCTGCTGTTGCCTCCAAGGCAGAACTCTGATTACGGGGCAGGTCTTTCCACCATGGTTTGCATTCTTAGCGCTCTTGCCGGATGGTGTAGGTATCGGATTCCTTTCAGGCGCCATGGACTTTGCGAAAGGAGCCTGAACCCCGGCCAGCTAGAGCGAACGATGCTGACTTCATTCGGGTTTATTGTTTAGGGTTTAGGTGTCGCGGGATACAAGCTGCAATGAACCTTGAGTGGATGGCAGCTCCTATGCATCCCATTCTCTAGACGAGCTGGGAGGATCCTAGTCCCTTGCGTCTTTACTTCCCCATGGCGATGGTGATTTGACATGCGCTCTTTGCTACTGAGACTTTTCAAGTGTCTCTACGCGCTTGCTTCAGAGCTTTTAAGAGCTTTGCTATATGGACAGGCTTTAGGCTATCTCGCCACATACATGTACGCACTATAAACCGCTACAGGCTCCTAAGTCGCGATGGAAGCTGGGCTCCTCCAATGAAACAAGGCTTCCAGCGACCTGCGCTGCGGCCACGAAGTACGCCATAAGAGACAGAGTGGACTTGGATCAGAAAGCAGAAGTGGATCGCAACACCACTACCGTTTGCTGCACAGGTCGCTGTACTAGTAGTCGTCGCAATAGCAGTGGTAGTAATCGTCCTTATCGTAGTCGTAGTCGAAGTCCCAGTAGTCGTAGCACTAGTAGTAGTCGCAGTCCCAACAGTACTAGCACTAGTAGTAACAGGAGCGTAGTAGCAGCAGTCGCAGTCGCTGTTACCTTGATAGTTGGCTTTGAAGCTGACGGCCTCAATGCTTGAGACTTAAGGATATGCCTTCCAATCTAAAGGCCTGGCCTGGTTGGAACTAGCCGGGCGATTGGCTCGAGAAGTTGGCAGCCAATCCACAGAGTCCGAAACTCAGTCAACGCTTCGGGTTTAGGAATCACCGTTTCAAGTCAACCTCAAGTCAAGTGTCGAAACCCGGCAAATTCCACAAATCCAAGAAGCTACGGAGGGCCGAGAATACCCAACCTTCAAAAACAAAATCATTTAGGTCTTTGGGGTTGGAAACCCCGACCTGCTTGTGTCTAGCACCCGGCCACTTCTTGGCAGCTTTGCACCCTTCAAAAACCTAAGTAAAAACCCTAGCAGGCACCCAGCTGAACCCTGCAAGTCCCTACGAAAGCCTTGAAAACCCCTGCAACAGCTGCCCCTTGCAAGGCACCTTCTTGCTCCGACCCTCGCAGGAGACTTCCTGCGCGCAGCTGCGCGTCTGCGGAAGCCTTCGGCGAGAGGTTTCCAGGGGTGGCGGCTCGGGGCTTTTCAGCGGCTTTGATATGAGGATTTAGGACTAAGAGTTCAAGGTTGACAGATTGAACGGAGATTCGTGGTTTAGGGGTCCCGGGTCTAGTTTGCGGAAGCCCTGCCGGCCCTGGGCGATCTAAAGCCATGGATCCGTAAATCCCAAGCTCGAAACCCAGAGCAGGAACAAAGCCTGCTGCCGAGCGGGTGCGATCACGACGCCGTGGCCGTGATGTGCAGCCTCGTTGACTCTTCAATTTTGCTTAGCTTGACAATGTGCAAGGATGGCTCAGGACGTACTTGAGGGATCATGGGACTTAGTAAGTAGGGTCATAAGTACCTCAATCTGGGATATCAGTATAGTTACCCTAATTACCTAATTATAACCCTAGTTACTAGGTCTCATGATCCTTTAAGTAGGTGTAGGAAAAAGGGGGGCCTCCTGGCTCCTGGATTAGGGTTTAGGCACAATAGGAGATCTCTGAGTCTGTGCCACAGGACCTCACGCTGACGTACTAAGATCTACATCAGAAGCACGGGGCTTTGAGAAATTCAAAACAAATTGCTCAGATTTGCATCTTTCCAAAACACTGATCATAGGCCCTAACTAAATAAAATTGCCTCCCAGGTCCGATGCAGGAAATTTCGGCCAAAGTGCCCAAACCGACACACGTCCATGGATTTGGGGTTTAGGGCTGGAGGTTTCGGGGCGTAGGGTTCAAGAATCCTTCGCTGAGTCCGGGGACACAACCAGAAGGTAAGGAAAAGAAACATTGAAGAGTCCAGCTCAAGATCTGTAGACCTAGGCCCTAGTAATCAGAGAAAACGGCTTGATTTTGCCGCAGACCGTGGGGACTGTTGGAAGACCAAGAATAAGCGGCAGTAACGGTAGTGATGACAGTCATCAGAACCATGTTACAAATCTTGATAATGACAATGCCAATGGCGCTACCAGTCTGATGCCTCCATGATGATAATGCACCCGAAGCCCCATCCTTGCCTCAGTGAACCTGCACTCTACGCCCTCTAGGCCCTCAAACTGTGAACCCAAAACCCCAAACCCTGACATTGCAACCCTAAACCTTTGAAGTGTGAATCTCAGACCCTCAACCCTAGATCTTGAGCCCTGAGCCCGGTGTGCGGCGCCGCGACGACGAGCACCGACGAGGTCGCCGGGGGCCCGCGCCTTTCTCGAGTTCCGGACGTGAGCCTTCTAGGGTGTAGGATGAAGCATGCAGGATCATGCAGGGGAAGGATTTCGGCGGGCACGCACCTTAAGGCAAATATCCGGACTTGAGTGCCTTTCCAAGATCCAGAAAAGCCCTTGAACTGAAGGATGCGCGACATTGCCAGATCGCCTCAAGAAATTGTGAAACGTTCCAGCCTGGCGTGCGGCGCCGCGATGAGGAGCATCGGCGAGGGCGACGGGGCCCAACACCGCCTTGGGGAGTGAGTCTCGGGGCTTTCTTTTTCTTTGAAGCCCAGACTGAGTCTGAGCCTCAGAAAATCTGCTGAGCTCATGGAAGCCACGAAACCCTGCGCTGAACGCAGCTCTGAGGGTGGATCTGATGCTCCTCCGCTTGCTCCTGCCAGGAATCTTTTAATATGCTAATGAGCTGCTAATGGCACAAAATGATATGATATGATATGATACGACAGAATATGATATGTAACTTCAGAGCTCTTGGGGCTTCTGCTTCACAGCCCTCAAGGCTCGGACACCTCTCTACCCTTCCCCGGCCTGGTGCGCTCCCGCATTGCTCGGGGCCCGGGACGCTCCGTGGCGAGTGGGCCGAAGCCCAACCCTTCCCACCCAGAGGAGCCGCGCTGACAGCAGCAAGGCCAGAGGGTAGAAAGCAAGTTGGATTTAGGAGTCTAGGCTCTGGGACTGGGGCGGTCTGCACTCAGAAGCTGTGAGTCATGTGGCGTAGCTTGTGGGCTTTGGGCCTGAAACCTCCTCCTTAAACTCCAAACCCCGAAACCCTAATCCCTGAGCCCTTGGACAGATATGAAGCATCAGGGCTCAATCATGAATCCTAAAACCCGGGCCTTCAACCTGAAGCTTCCATTCAAAGCTCCTTCACAGCTTTGGGCGCTTTTCGATTGCGCAGCATTGACACATCTTGGCCCGGGCATTCGCGCACCGCCCTCGGGCCAACAGCCGTGGGATGGGGTCCGAACACCAGGAGTCCACCCCCTTCTGAG